TATATATATATATATATATATACTATAGAGTTATATATATTATATGTACTATAGAGTGAAGATTGGTCAGACTGTCATATAATTGAAGGACAATTTGAATCTCCATTTGAGAAGCATCTTCCAGGAATAATGCCAGATAAAACCAAGATAGCTTACTTTCAAGTGATCTTACCATCTAAATGGAGCTCCCATAAGATAAAACCAATATGCTTGCATCTTGCAGGAACTGGGGATCATGTATGTTAAGCACTGCTCCATTGTCACTTTCTCACTTTTAATTCTCTTTGAGAAAGAGTCATGAATATGCAATATAATACAACTCTCTGTCCTAATCAACATATTTATATACTTTACTTATTAACCAGTTTTTTTGGCGACGTAGAAATCTTATTGCTAGACCACTACTCAAAGAAGCGGGCATAGCATCGATATTGTTGGAAAATCCATTTTATGGACTGAGGAAGCCAGATGATCAAATGTAAGAACTTAGATGGAAGGTTTGTATGGGATAGCACTATACGGTCATTGAAGACTTTACAATTTCTTCTCTTCTAACCATGTTATATCGCAATTAGCCGTTCTAGTTTACATAATGTATGTGACATTTTTATCATGGGAGGCTGTCTAATAATGGAGTCGATCGTCCTGTTAAATTGGTGTGAACAACAGGGATTTGGGCCACTGGGTCTCACTGGATTGTCAATGGGTGGACATGTTAGTTGAAAGTTATGAGAGAGACTGTTATGCAAATTGTATGCATCTGAGCACATGTTCTTTCTGTAGATGGCTTCTTTAGCAGCTACTAATTGGCCAAAACCAATATCCTTAGTACCTTGCTTGTCATGGTCTACAGCTTCACCTGTGTTTACGGAGGGTGTTATGAGTGCGTCAATAAATTGGGCACTCCTGGAGACTCAATACTTTTCAGACAAGATATATCAAAATGATCTGGCAAAAATGGTCAAAATTATCGATCGCGATGTGAGTATCTCACTGGAATGAAAAATTTTTGTACATGTATCTCTTATATCTATGAAATATATGTTTCTAGGACGCTTTTTTAGCTGGTCAACACTTTGCAAAGCATTATCCTGCAAGTATGAATAGAGTAGATGAGTTAAGAAGAGAATCCAATGAGAGTAACAAGAGTAATACTTCTGCTGTGATTGGTGCGAATAGTACAAATTCTTCTAATAAAAACATTAACGACAATAATATTTTCGTCGAAAACGAATCTAGAAATAAGAAAAGTCAGTTGCAACGTCAAATCGCGGAAGAGAAGGCGGCGGCCAAAATATTTCCCTTAAATCTCATTTCTAACAGGTTCAAGTCAAAAGATCCCAACACTCTCAAAGGTAAGTTGAACTCGTATAGTTAACTTGCATTACCTTGCATGCGGTCCGTTGAATAGTCTTTCGTAGTTTCATACAAGAGAAGTACAATAGCGAATTAATATATCTCTGTTCTCATTTTCTAGCCGTGTAATTACTGATTGTTATCATTTGTCCTCGTGTTTAATGATCCTAGAGAGCTTGTAAGCATGCTTTTTATGGGACTTGTTTTTTTCGTGACAGGGGTTTGCTTATTGCCAGTGCCGAAGCATCCGCTATTTTCAGACAACAAATGGCGCGAGCACGAGGCGTTGCAGTTTATGCGCGGCATAATGGACGAATGCACGCATCTGAAAAATTTCGAGATACCAGTCGATACCGAGCTGATCATTGCCGTTTGTGCCAGAGATGACGCGTACGTGCCGCGAGATCATTGTATGAGCCTTGAGACGATATGGCCAAAAGCTGAGATACGTTACATTGATGCTGGTCACGTTAGCGCTTATCTTCTTCATCAAAAAGTCTTCAGGTACATTCTTTGGAATTTATCTAAACTTACAAATATTTTTTCGACATGTTTTGTAAGTATTTCAGGTACGCTTCTTTAGGGAGAGAAACAACCTGAAATTTCTCTAAATTTTCAATTGCTCATCTCCCTGAAGTTGT